TCATTAATAAGTCTTTATGGAGAAAGACTATCTCAATCACCTTTCAACAATATGGCATCTACAAGCCAGTGACTTTGGTATATTTTCTACATTAGATATTTAGAATAAAAGAATCTGATAATCAACTGACATATTTTGCCAGGGGAAATGCAAGTTTTACCAGATCTAAGCTCGTACTTTTCTAGTTGACTTTAGAGTTGAAAAAAGGGGTGCAGAAATAAGTTCATTTAATAGAGTCTATAGCAATTGCATATATTACACATAAGCAAGAAAAAAAAAAACCCTCACCTCTAAAAGTTACTTTTTCCTGTTCCAGGAAGGGCCTTTTAGATTACATGAGACAAAACACCAACATTTCTAAAGAAAAGGTTGTTTAAAAGAAATAAAAGAAAACTTATTTCTACATGATATCACAAAAGGGCAAAATATAAGTTTGAAAAACATTCTGAGAGGCTACTATAAGATCAAATGTACAGAGAAGCATACATAAACATTGCTTTTTCCAGAAGAGAAGTAAATTATGGGGTAAAAAGAAGATAGGTACAACTAGCCTTTCAACAAGGATCCCAAGATGTTCCTTTTGCTCTTTCCTGTTCACTCAATCTGACCTTTAAAAAGAACAAACCAGCTGAGGCTGATCAGCATTTCTCACTATAGGAGATGGGTCCTCAGATCCTGCCAGTCATTCTGTCTTTCCTGAGATTTGGTCCAAGATAATCAAAAAGTTGTCTCACTGATACATGAAGAATTCTGAACAATACAGTCCACTCATTGCATGCAACTTTGTCTAAGCCAGTGCCAATTTTTATTTAAGGAAGAATGCCTAGTGAATAGAATAGTGAACAGAATGCAATATGAACTAATCAAAGAACCTGAAGACCAGCTCTTCCCTAGGTAAAATTCCTCTTTTTCTAAAATTTGATAAATTAGGTGTTTCTGAGGTAATTAAATTGCACTGGAAGAAATATCTAATAGAAACAAAGGGGAACAGGCTAAACTGGGCTCTTATCATCTCTGCTTAGATATCTAAAAAATGTTTCAGACTGATAAGTTTAAAAGCCTTAAAGTTATCAGTGGTATTTATGAATCACAGTTAGTGCAAGGTATTCTCTATTGGAAACAATGAATTTTCAATGCAGAGTCAGTTTATATCATTATGACTTGTATTTCATTTCCATGAATGTCTTTATATGTGTCTATATATGTTACTGTGCACCCATGACTGCCATACCCCAGAAAGTATGGTGATGGGAGTTGTGCTCTCTGAAAATCAAGTAGCTCATTAAGCAGACATAAATATTAATAGAGCTGTCTACTCATACACTTTCAAATGAAATAGTTTGGATCATGAATCTCTGCATTTAAAATTTATTCACCAGTCCAGACCAACTAAACTAAAAAACACAATCCACATATGAAGAAACCTCTGCTGGGCAGTCTCTTAGCCATTGGTAATTCCCAAACATCTGATATATACAAGCAAGAAACAAGTGATTTCTTTCCTTATTTCACTCCCAATTCTCCTAGAAATAATAATCTATACAAGACCGTATGTGTTCAGTTCCATGACATTCACTATATATTATATTCTCTATGAAAACCATACTTCCTCATCTTCAAATATAGGTGCCTTCAGGCAACATGAATGCTTTTGTACAGGCTCAAAAAAAAAAAAAAAAAAGCCTACTATCACGCCAAATGCAGAACATAGACTATGTGGAGTTTCTTTTAGTGGTCACATTAGTGATGATTTCCAAATATTATTTATATAACTGTCATTAGATTTTGAAGTTGCTATCCATGTTACAAGGAGAAGAACTGGACATACAATATTAAACAAAATACAGGCATGAAGCTAAAGCAGGATGTATGCTTCTCCTAAAAGATAATGAGTTACCCTGTCATTCTGAAATAGAAGTAAAATTTTCATGCTGTGTCTATAACAGTAAAGTGGATATGTGAAACACCAAATAAACGTGCAAAAGTCTTTAGGCATTTCCTAGAAATGACGCAAAAGTTTGACATGCAATTCAGGAAATTACCACATGATCAAGGATATAAAAAAATCTGAGTTGGTAAAAGGGTGTTATCCAGGACATAATCTAAGTTCTATGAAAATTTAGAACTACAGAAGCTAGCCCTTAAGGAAGGCTTAATGAGATGCCTTTCTATAGATTTCCTGTAACTAACCCTAGAAAAGAGAGGGCATTTCAGTTGTATGCATGCCCATAACACAGAATTAGTAACCTTGGACTTTCATGTACTTGATAAACATAAGATGTATTAAATCAGTAAACTAAATATGAAGTATCCTGAAATATAAGTAACCATATTTAGCAAGAAGGAGGCTGTCTTGCGTTGTTCCTACTTCACCACATTGCCATCCTATCATTTTGTAGTCTCTGCAGTATGCACATCACAGTCCCACCAACACATGATAATGGTTACAATTCCTCCTGTAATGTCTAACACGACTTGCAGATAAAATTGCCTTTATCTCCATATCCATTTTCATCAGATTCCTCCTTGTTCTTCAAAATTTTGGCTTTCTACTTTCAAAATACTTCCTACTTTCAAAATTTTTCTTATGTCTCTCAACTAAGTGGTGTTACAGATTTAATTATCTAATAAGATCTACCTCATGTAATAAAAAAAGCATTAAACAATGTAAAAGTGTGGTGTTGGTGGTTCAGTCACTTTGCATTTATATACCTTTTATTATGCATTTACATACTCTTCATTAATTAAACAGATCGTGCAAAATTCTGCCCGTCCATTTTTGTATTTTCTCTTTTCAGCAATTTTCATTACTTAATGAATGTAATCAGTGCCACCTAAAACCAGTAAAAGTGTGACTATCTCTTCTTCACACAACACCGATGCTATTTCCAAGCTGCTAAAATGGTGTTGCTGCTAAAACGCCACTTACCTATTGCAATTTCGTTCTACAATAGGATTCCTTCTATTCCTGGGTGTGAGGGCCGTACAGCCCAGGTACAACCTGAGGCAGGTACAGGTGAGTAGCGAGAGAGTTATTCTGAGAACAAGGATTACTACAGCTATGGCAACTGCCCAGGCAGAAGGCCTTCAGGAGTTGTCTGCCGTCGTCAAAGGGAAAAGGTAGGCTTCTGCTGCTTTTTCTTGTACTGTGCAGTAGCTAGTGAATTCAACTGAAAAGGTAACTACTGAATTTCCAATAACTTTCTCTTCATCCTCCTTTAGACTCACAAGACAATAAACATGACTTTCCTCAGCTACGGAGCTCTCCCTGCCTTGATTTTGGTTGCTTTTCTGATTTTTTTTCTTTCTACTCTCTAATAGGAAAAGATTACTTCTGAGAACTATGATGGAGATCTGCATCTTTATTTATGACTCCGTGAATCAATGTCTGGGTGATAGGAAGTGAAAGTTGCTCAGCTGATTACACATGCTTGATGAACTGCGTAATAACTGCCGCAGCACTGCACGTTAATTGAATGCATATAAATGACAACAGTTATTCTAACTTGAATGATGTGTGTGAAGAAGTGACATTGCTCATAGCACACTGCTAATCTTTGTTTCCAACTCTGGGAATCCAATTAGACTGGATTCCCAATCCAATCCAAGAAAAAAATCGCATTTTTACAGCATTGAGCAAAAAAGTCCTCAATAGGAAACCTCAAAAGATGACTCAAAGCCAACACTTTAAAAACAAATGTCCTTAATTTAAGTTACTGAAAGTAGATTTAGACATCTAAATAAACATATGTTGAGCAACTACAATTAAGAATTAATAATTAACCATTAGCTAAAATTAACAGTCAGTAGGAGCTATATGAGCCAAAACCTTGGAAAATAAGTCCACTTCCATCTAGATGCCTAAATATGGACTTAGAAACTTAATCTGAGTGTACAGAGTTGAATTTTGTCCAACTCTAAATAATTTTGTGCTATGACACTTTCCTAAAATATATTCGTTCTGGAATATCAGGGGCATATAGGCAACTGATATTAAAAAAGTCCATTACAGCTAATAGACAACTCTGTATTTCCACACTGTTCTTTGTTTACCCTAAAAAGTATTCTCGATTTAAAGGTAGTCCAGCTATTAAATAAGACATTATTTTAAAGAAACTAATGTAAAACAAATGTGTAAAGTAGTACAAAATTAGTACTTTAAACTAGTATCAAATACCTGCTTTAAATGAGTACCAAAATAAACCTTATATCCTGCCTATCAATGGCTTTAGGAATTTGCAAATGTTCACAAAGAAATCTGCAAATTCTCCCATCCTATCTGCAAAACACTAAAACATTAGAAGCCAAGTTTCCAAAGTTTCCAAAGCAGCCAAATTCCCAAAGTATCATGTCACAACATTTTAACATTTCCCAAAGCCCATATTAAGAGACTTTTGGCTTCATAAAGAAAGCCATAATCACACAATAAAGGAAACCAGCCCTCACTTTTTAAAACGTGTAAGCGAAAAAAAGAAGTATTTCACATACACATTCTAGAAAAGTTAATGCCGTTTCAGGAAAATAGTGTGTACCACGTAGGAAGTCAACATAGCTTTTCAGTTCTTCTGTGCTGTAGTACGCAATCACCACTATGCTGCACTGCTGCATAGAGGGCTGTGGAGGTCTGCCAACCCTGTGAGTGGCAGCAGTGCCAGGGCCCCTGGCGTACAGGCCACCCTCTATGCCACTCGTATATGATATACTGGATGTGCATACGAGTGAGACCATGAGGCGGGATGAAAGCTGTCAACAGAGTCAGCATTAGACAGTGAAAGAGATACAATCAGGTGTAACCAAGTTCAGGCTTTACAAACGTTATCTTCTCATCTGCTTTACATGGTCCTCCCTTTAAATCTCCTTCTGGCTGTATTAGGACAAGAGAATCCCGAACTGTTCACTTCACAGCACCCGTAAATCAGCGTCTTTCCGCTCTATTATTTGTTCTTCCTTTGCAAGGTTTTGATTTTTCCCCCATTTTGTTTTGTCCACTTTATACATACCTCCTTTTCTACAAATTTTCTTGCCGGGTTTTCTGGCACATTCCTTGGATATTCTTTTGACTGAAAAATGAATAGAAGACTAGAAAATAACATGGAGCTCCATCACAGACAGTAGGAGCATGCAACACCACTATCTAACTTAAATATGGCCTGCTTTATCAGGTGCGGAAGATTCTCAACTTGTTGTGCCTGCACATGCAATGGATAAGATGTTGATGCATCTTCCCAGAAGTCAGTGGGTGGCAATGAGAATTAGATACCAACTTTGACCTAAAATACACGTGCTGCGGGAGAAAAACAATGAGTATAGACAGAAAAATAAAATAAAGGACAGATGCACACACAGAAAAGCAGCATGCATACATATAAAATGCTGGCATGCAAACAAGGAAAGCCATGCATGCTACCAGTAAACATGAATTAATATTGTTAGAACTTAGAACAGGTAAATAAAAAGATCTCCCTGTTTCGCCTTGTATTAACTCACCATCCTCGGTTGGGACATAGATATTTAAATAGAGGCAGTCTTCATTCTGATCTTGTACATAGGTGGAAACTACATCCAAGTTATTAGTAAACCACACGGGAAGCATGACTTCAGGCAGCCTGCCTTCTATAATGTTCTGGGGACACACTGGAGCAAACTGAGTGGTATTTTTGATATCTGCCCAGGGCGATGGAGGCTCAGGAGGCTGGAAGCGGCGCTCCCCTGTTGGAGGGGCAGCATATGGAACCCCAAGAAACTGAATAACAGGCCCCAAAATTTCATTATTAAGTTCCTTCTTAATCCCTCTTATCTTGCCAAAGTTGGTGGTCACCACTGGGTTGGTATCATCCAGTTTTTGGGAGGACACAGCTGCAGCGTGAAGCAAAAATCCAAGTGTACAAAGAGCAAAAGTGGCATTCAATCCCATGTGTAACAGGCGGACTATCATCGCTCTCCATACACAGTTCAGCCACATGGATCTTGGAAAGGCCATGGTCCCACATTAGCTGTGCAACTACAGTGAAGCAATCTTATTTGTATCCACTGGCGTAAAAGCAGGGCGACCAAAGGAAACACAGATCAAGTTTCCCGAATATGAGCCTGTCAGAAAAATCTCAAAAGGCTTTTCATGCGGTAAGTATCTTCCATTGATTTCACACTTATTGAAGCTGCATCTTCACTCAGCACTATTTATCAGACTACATCCTACTGACAATTCTGTTTTCCATAGCAGCAATATGAAGAGAGCGGCCATTTAGTGCAGAATCCCCTCTTATAAATCAAATCCAGTTAGCCGCAGGTCTATATCCTGGAGAAAATGAAAATAAATCATTAGTATGAAAGAGCTAATATGAGCAGAGTGATAACTAGATGTTTTACAAGTTATGTACATACATTAATAGTTGCTAGAGCCAGGAAAGGTAAGTAAAATTCTACTAGTTTATGGTTCCATGAAATGGTGGGTGAAGTTCTGATTACTGGATTATCCGTAATGTTGCCCATTGAATTTACAGAGATTTTCAGAAGACAGTAGTCTCACAAAAAATGCATTTTTAAAATTCACCTTTTTAAGAATAAAAAGTTGCTACCAGGTCATATTATTTCAGTGTTTGTATTATATTTTATTTAATTTCATCAGCCCATAATCAATTTTGACCTTGTTTGCAGAAGCTGGTTTATCAAAAAGAAAGTAATTATTTCTTAAAGCACGAGACACAGTGAAATTAAGACAGGTATACTGAATGCTTAGACGCAGTTTATTTCACTGAAAGCAGATTATACCACAAACAAACATTTGTTTGCCCACTTTAAAATATAACTTGTGATTCAATCTTTGAAGCAACTAGAATATCTTTAAAGGATAAAATGAATTACTGTGCTTTTTATAGTTGTCTTACCCCATAAATTCCTGATAGCTAATGAAAAACACCTGAATTTTGGCAAAGTGAAACGTTCAGAACAGCAGTGAAGGACTAGATTCTGCTCCCACTGACGTGAATGGCAAACTCATAATTTGCCCAGAAGTATGACTGGACTTCAATGGTTTTTTTCAAAACTGATTTGAAAAAGCATAGGAATAGGCAGGTTAGGGATGGAGCTGTATATCACAACTCCTATTTCAGACCAGTCCTGCATTCCTTATAAACTACTGACTTCAGTGAAAAATGAGACTGCATTATGAATGCACTCAATTCCTACCATCCTTAATTTACAGTATAAACAATAACTGCTCCCATAAGACAGTAAAAACCTTAGCTTTCGTATACCCACATACTGACTGAACAGTATCCTAGAAAAATAATCAGTTAGGATCAGAGACTATATAATCTCAAATTCCAGATTCTATTTTCAGCTACTTTAGCTCAAAGGTTGTCATCCAAGGCTGTGTTCCAGCACTTCTGAAAATTGCTCAGTGCATATCATTACATCTTCTATATTCCTGTTAAACATATTTCCAACACAATTTACAATATCCTATTATTTAAAATGCAGTGCTATACACAATGTAGCACTGTAATCTTACACTCCCTATTAAGCAGCGTGTAACGCACAAGAAATGTGTTTTGCTTTGTACAGGGAACATTTTAAACCACCTGCTTTTGAAACAGCATTGGCAGCTTTAATGAGAATTGTTTTTTTATCATGTCTATACACATTGTAGAGAGAATTCAAAAGAACGGCTTGTCTAATAGTCAGACTACCCTGCAGTTTGGGTTATTAAAAAGGAGATTGTAAAAGCTATATAGGACAGCAGGAGATTTGGTTCATGTCTAGTGTTCCTTTAGCTCTGAACAATCTATCTCAGGAGGCAATAAGGAGATAGATGAAGCTTTTCCACAATTCTCTCTCCCTTTCTTTCTCTGCTAATTCTAACACCTTTGCTGTGAAACTGCATTAAACAGTCTTATATCCTTCATTCTCGAGCTTCAAATTCTCAGCATTTGCTGCAAACACACCAATTAAGCTGCAGAAAATAATTCCCCAAAGTTAATGCATGTGTTTACGTTTAGTTTAATAAACTTGCACAGAATGGCATCCAGACAATTGCCTCTTGGGAGATTGTCGCTTTGCTGCATTTCAGATTTTGAAGGTAGTAAGATATTACTTGAGAAACAGTAAAGACAGTGTGGAGCATAGACTGGTGCGACAGCAGAAGGCACCTGGTACAACTTTGCTGCTTGTAAATCGCATGAACTTAATCTCAGGAGCTATCCTACTAATTTACCTGGTCTGGAGAAGAAATCAAATTCAACATAGCTGCTCCAAACAAGACCGTCCTTCTTCGTTTCAAGCTGTTGCGTCTATTCAGTGTAGAAAATTACCAAGACACTGCCAACAATTCATTTAGCACTTTTTCCCCAAAAAGTCTCAGACCTGCTCTACTCTAAGAGAATACCTAAAATGCTAAGTTTTGACAATAACATTAAAAATCACAGATATCTTATATTTCAGATTATGAGACTGGGGCTACATTTAACTTATCCTGAACTAACTATATTATTTATGTAAATTTAAAGCAAATCCTACAGCTGGGCTGTAGTTTTAAGCCTGTCCATTGGATGCTGTACCTAGCAGCTGAACATCTCTGTTGCAATTAAATGTTCTACGATGCCATCCATGGATAAAGTTTTTTTCTAAGATAAAGACAGGAAGCTAAAATGATAGGAATATAACTCAATACTATGTTTGGCTATTTTGATTAATTAACTCTTGGGTACTAGCTAGCTTCAGCCAATAGATTTATAGGCTATACGAGGCTGTAAATTTTAAAGCACTTCCAGCATTGAAATCAACAGACTCTCATGGTATTTGTAACTTGAATTTCCACCCCCCCAATAAGCCTTTCTTTTTTAATGGTTTAAGTAAGTTTGTTTTTGAGACTTAAAGAGGTGAGATACTTGAGCCCAACGTTGACTGCCCTGAGGCTATAACATTAAAGACAGAAACTCACAAAAATAAGGAGACTGAGATTACTCAAATCTTTCAGGACTCTCATGCCAAAATGTTATTTCCAGCCCTAGATAGAAAGGCAAGCGGAGATGCCTGCCTGGAGCATGTCTTATTTATTCTGCATCAATGTTGGAAGAAGGTTTCCTTAGCCCTCCAGCTGGTGCTCTGCACAGGCCTTTCCCCCGGTGTCTGGACTTGAAATGACTGATCAGGAACCAGTGGAGAGAGAGAAAGAAAGAGAGAAACAATAAGCAAGAGCAGGAACGATCACACAGGTGGGCAGGAGGATAAACTGAAGAGTAATGATGAGCAATGTGGGGCAAAGTATAAAGCGTCAGCATCAGAATGCTGTGAATCTGAGGAGGAGGAGAAGCGTTTTCAGATTTTATTATAGCCTAGATGTGAGGATCACAATTGTTCCCTGTGGTCACGCAAATGAATTCTACTGTAAAATGTATTTGATAAAGTCTTTCATGGTCTTTAGAACAGTCTATATTATATGGCGTTTTTTTCTATTTCACCCATTATTTTATTATCTTCCTTTCTGAATTTAAATTACCTTATAGCTCAGATTCTCAAATACTTTAGAGAGGCATTTAGTATGCTGAGGAGCTAACAGGCCAAGATAACTTCAAAGCCGCTTTGCATTTCCAATGACATAGGGCATTCCACAACAGGTCAGATCTGCTGCAGACTGCAACAGCCCAACTTCTCTTTGTTACTCTTTCACATAGTTTCAAATTTTAAGGGATATCTTAAACCGTACCACCTGCAATAGCTCCAACAGATTAATACAACTTTCAGTGGGACCCAAAGCTTCTGGCCGTATGCCAGCTTTTGTACACATAAAGGCATTATTATGATAGCTTTGTACCACCGGCTGCTTTCTTTTTAGCTGAAGATGTGCTCTGTGACTTGATATTCATGCTTAAAAAGTCCTTTCCCCATCAATTTGGCGAGCAAATGCCACATGCACGAATAGTCATAGAAAGTGATTGTGAGAGTTTTGAACACTGTACAATGCCACTTCATTGCAAAACACAAATACTGTTTTGCAGAACCAACTACATTTACATCCATTTTTACTTGCCACAATCTCTACTTTGAATTAAAACCCTGAAGACAGTTCATGCCTCCAAAAGGAAATCTAAATTCTAAAATATGCTATGATCCCAAAGAGGAATGTGGCCAGAAGAGCAGAAGTCACTAAAGGAAAGACTACAGCACAGGCCAAACACTAGATCAGCATGGCATACCAACTGTAAATGTGATCAGACAAATCCTCAAGCGATACTCCTAGAATTTCCGATCTCTTCTTCCATATGTCAGGTTAGCAAAGGGAAGTTTTCTCTCAAATATGTCATATTTTCTATGAAGCAATAAAGATTTCAAAGCAGATCCTGCTGTTGTGGACTTCCATAGATACCTGATGACTCAAAGGGAATTACATGTGTTTAATGTAAGAAATGAATTATTTGCATTTTAAAAGTAGCTGTATGAAATGTGTATGTATCGTGTATGAAACAATAAGGATAGACTGTAATCCTGAAATACCTAGGAAAGGTACAGGTCTGGCAAAGTATGGCTAGCTTCTACATGCCCCTGTCCCTCCCCCTGACAGCAGCCACTGGCCTGTAAGCTTCAGGAAGCTGTTGCAAATCCAAACCTATTGAAATGCACCTTTCCTGAGATTTTCTGAGATTGCTGACAAAGGTGTAAGGTGCTATTATACTTATACTACGAATAAGATAGTATTTTGATGGGGTCACATTCCCACCCAACGTCAGTAGGAGATTACAAGTGTCATGCTGCACAGGTCAGCAAACAGCCCCGGTGGTAAGCATTTCCAAATGCTCCAAGCTGTGTAATTATATCACTCACAGATCACAGGTTCTGATTTCTCAATGCAATTCTCACATTTGCCTCTATGTAATATTATGTTTTGTAAACAAAACCTTACAAACAAATTAGTAAAAGATATAAAAGTATATACATAATGTATATGTAAATATAAATAGACTATCTGACACAGTGAAACACATATTAATGGAAAGCTAAATTGAGTGGATGATATAAGACTCATATTTAAATAGTCATGCAGTTTTCAGCTTCACTATATTTTTGTTCTTCCCCATTAGGGGGTAGATTCACTAATGCTAACTCATTATTAATTAGCATTTTCATGATCAAAAGATCCCTTTAAATAATTTCTGCAACATAGTTTGCCAAAATAGAAAGACTTCTGATCATAATTTTCTATTAAGCTGTCTTTGAATTAGATACAAATTAAATCTATGGCAAGAGGAGGGTCACTTAAGTCTTATTATCTTCCATTTATTCATATCAATGAATCATTTT